ATGGAACAGATTCTTCTCTCAAACCAGTGTTCTTGCTTTTTCCCCAAGGTCTCCCCCAGCAGCCCAGCTCTAGCGGTCTCTGGCCACTCTCCCCTCATGCCTGGCCTGGCCATCTACTCTGTAAGAGTAGTCAACTTCAGCTCCTTCCAGCAGATGGCGTCACCCGTTTTCATCAACCTTTCCTGTGTGCTCACCAGTCAGAGTGAGGCTGTGCTGGTGAGAGTGGTGGCTGAGAAGCCTGGCGCAGGTGAGCAGCCAAAGGGGGAAAGAAGAGAGAATGCAATCATTGTGTTCCGGGGAAACATTTAGCCACCCGACTGAGATGACGCACACTAGCTCATGTAGTGTAACCTCCAAACCTACCCGAAGCATAACCTGCAAGTAGCTTTCATAACTAGATGTTATACTTAACACTAAACATTATACATCAGTTTAACACTACCTTTTGTCACCTTTGTAAACAGTTTATCTGATTTTTTTTTAAAAGATTTATTTTTATTATTTTTTCATTGGAAAGACGGATATACAGAGAGGAGAGACAGAGAGGAAGATCTTCCGTCCCATGATTCACTCCCCAAGTGAGCGCAACGGCCGATGCTATGCCGATCCGAAGCCACGCGGGTGCAGGGTCCCAAAGCCTTTGGGCCGTCCTCGACTGCTTTCCCGGGCCACAGGCAGGGAGCTGGAAGGGAAGCGGGGCTGCCGGGATTAGGACCGGCGCCCATATGGGATCCCGGGCGTGCAAGGTGAGGACCTTAACCACTTGCGCCACCGCGCTGGGCCCAGTTTATCTGATTTTTAAACTTCCTGATAACCATAATCTTTAAGTTTTAGCAACTCTTCCCAGTAGTCCGTGGACAAATGTTGAAAACTCTGGAATGAGTTAATTTCTGAAAACTGATTCCAAGCATTATCTACATTAGAAATCATTTTCTAGAAAAAAAAATTTAAAGATTTATATATTTTGATACAATGGCTTGGTGGCTAAATCCGTGCACAGGCTGGGATCCACTATAGGCGTCAGTTCGTGTCCCAGCTGCTCCACTTTGCATCCATCTTCCCTGCTTGTGGCCTGGGAAGACATCAGAGAATGGCCCAAAGCCTTGGGACCTTCACCACGTGGGAGACCCAGAAGTTCCTGGCTCCTGGTCAGCTCAGCTCTTGTAGAGGCCACGTCAGATCGACTTGGCTCCGGCCACTGCAGCCACGTGCAGTGAACCAGTGTATGAAAGATCTCTTCTTTCTGTAAATCTTTCCAATAAAAATCCGTAAAATTTAAGATTTACTTATTTTTATTGGAAAGTCAGATACATGCAGAGAGGAGAGACAGAGAGAAAAATCTTCTGTACAACCAATCATTCCTGAAGCAATAGCAACAGCCAGAGCTAGGAGCCTCTCCCGGGTCTCCCACATGGGTGCAGGGTCCCAAGACTTGGGGCCGTTCTCAACTGCTTTCCCGGGCCACAAGCAGGGAGCTGGATGTGAAATGGAGCTGCCAGGATTAGAACCAGTGCCCATATGGGATCCCAGTGCCTGTAAGGCAAAAGGCAAGCACTTTCTTTTTAAGGCAAGGATATTTTTTTTTAAAGCAAGGACTTTTTAGCCACTAGGCCACGGCGCCAGGTCCCAAAATTCATAAATCTTAAAAAAGAAAAAATGAATTTATGGATTTTTATTAGAAATAGATTTACAGAGAGAGACAAAGATCTACCATATGTTGGTTCACTCCCCAATGGCTGCAATTACTAGAGCTGAGCTGATCTAAAGCCATGAGCCAGGAGCCTCTTCCAAGTTTTCTACAAGGGTGCAAGATCCCCAAAGCTTCAGGCCATCCTCCACTGCTTTCCCATGCCATTAGCAATGGAGGGTAAGTGGAACAGCCTGGACACGAACCAGTGGGTGCCCACATGGGATCCAGGAGTTTGAAGGGGGAGGATTAGCTAACTTAGAATTGCTCTGGGCCCCTAATTTAGAAATCTGCATTTGGACATGATAGGAACATATTACAGAAATTTGACCAAAAATGGAAAGTCTAGGCCCGGTGCAATAGCCTAGTGACTAAAATCCTCGCCTTGAGCATGCCAGGATCCCATATGGGAGCCGGTTCTAATCCCGGCAGCCCCGCTTCCCTTCCAGCTCCCTGCCTGTGGCCCGGGAAAGCAGTCAAGGACGGCCCAAAGCTTTGGGACCCTGCACCTGCGCGGGAGACCTGGAAGATCTGGGTTCCTGGCTTCAGATTGGCTAAGCTCTGGCCATTGTGGTCACTTGGGGAGTGAATTAACAGATCAAAGATCTGTCTCTCTTCCTCTCTGTATATCTTTCTTGCCAATAAAAACAAATTTTAAAAACACTTTTAAAAAAGGCAGATTGGGGAAGACAGGAATTATATCACAATGTACAAGTACAGACAAGAATGTTAGAAATAAACACGCCATGCAAAGTTTTATTTGCACTCTGCCCAACAAAGGTCTGAATGGGGAAGCTGAGGGATCAGTCACTCCTTCAAGCATCCTCACATTCCTCAGTGAAGCCGGCTGTAAACAGTGTGAAGACGTCAATTAAAAGCCAAGTTAGCACCAGTTAAGAGTTCACAAGTATGTTAAGTGAAATAAACCAGAAATAAGACCAATACTATCTACTCGTTTGTGCAGACTCAATCTAGAGGGATTAGAATCACAAATTCTAGAATTTAAAATGACCCAATGTTTCAAAAGCACAAGTTCTATCAGTAAATAAATGAGAGGCCCCCAAAAAGTGCTAACCTGCGGTTCAGGACCCCCTGGGTTTAGACCACTGCTCAAGCCCAACACAGTAGCCTAGTGGCTAAAGTCCTCGCCTTGCACTCACCAGGATCACATATGGGCACATTTTTGTGTCCCAGATATTCTACTTCCCTTCCAGCTCCCTGCCTGTGGCCTGGGAAAACAGTACAAGCTGCCCCAAGAAGCCTCGGGATCCTACACCTGCGAGGGAGACCCAAAGCAACGCCTGGCTCCTGGCTTTGGATTGGCTCAACTGGGGCCACTGCAGCTACTTGGGGAGTGAACCAGCATAAAAATAGAGAATTACTAACTCAGCACGCATTGTCACAGGTCTGCAAAATGAAAGGGATCAAAGCACAGAAAAGCCAGAAAGCATTGTTAAGGTGGTGCAGGACTTAAGGCTCGGGAAGCCTAACAGGTTCAGGGACTGGGAGAAATTTTACTACTCAGGAGACAGGGAGGAGCCAGAAAGACAGGGAGGAGCCAAGGACAGTTGACACTGGTCTCTGTTCTCAAATTCTCATTGTCAAACCAATTCTCTAAGAGGGAAGAGTTCCCAGTGCATGTGCTGCTGTGATCACAAGTCCTGGCGTGCTGAGTGTCTCGTTTCCTTCCTTCCGGCCAACACAGGACAATGCGAAGACGCTGGTGTCATCAAGAGGCTCCTGGGCTCTTACCAGATCCTTTTCTTTACCCTCTTTGCGATGTTGGCATCAACAGCTTTCGTCTTTCTAGGTAAGAAGCCCTCAGCACCATGGACTTTGACTAGGAAACCACCTTCATTTTACTGCAGGCTGTGATTACACCTAATTAGCAACAGTAGCTGAAACCACCTGACCTGGGCAACTCCAGGTCCTCAACCCACTGGGTGTGTCATCACAGTGAGATACTTCAGAAATGGTGTTCACTGCCAAACCTAACATCTAGTTTTGTCCACATTTATACTTAGGGATGATGTACACAACACTACTATTACCAACACCTGCAGTTTTCCTCAGTCTTAGTGAAAAACTAGGAGGGAGGCTAAACTGAGATAAATGGAAACTTCCTGTAATAGTATACTACTAAACTGCAGCCCAGCATTTGACAGCTGCTGCCTACATTAGCACACCTGGGGTCCATACTTGACCTGGGGATGTCACAGGCCAGTCCACATCAGGTACTAGGGGAAATGACCAGCTGATGGGAGCGTCCCTTGGTACCCACAGATTGGTTCAAGGACCTCTACACAGCAGTAAAACCCAAATACTCAAATCCCTTCCCAATAATGCAGCAGTGCTTACACATAACCCACACCAGTCTCACTGGTACCATGCAGACTTTGTAACCCAATGAAAGCACACTATGTTGCTCAGGGAATTAAAGCCTGTATACACATTCAAGATGGGTGCTCCTCATGCCCACACAACACAGTCCCAATTTGCAGCTGACTGAATCCAGAGCTCCAACCCAGGGGCCAGCTCAGTTCACCTCATGGTGTTCCTTTTTATACAAACACTTAAGTCTCACTGTAGTGCTGATGTAGCTTTGCAAAGCCTTCCAGTGGCCATCAGCCAGGCCTCTGGGTGACCCCTGCTTTAACTTTCCAGCATACAACGCCTTCCTCAACAAGCTGCAGGCGGTCCCAGTGGTTTACGTACCCACTCTCGGAACACCCCAGCCAGGTAAGGAGCTACCACCATCCTCATCTCTGCACGGGTCAGAAACATTTACTCAGCCCTGCATCCTCTTTCTTGCTTACTTCCAGGTTCTTACCTTTCTACATGCTCCCCTCCCTTCATGAACCAACAACCCCCGCTGGCCCAGAGGCGGCTACAACACTGGCTGTGGAGCAGGAGGCACTAACCCGGGCTGGGCCCAGCCCCCTTCACCCTAGGGAGCAGAGCTCTAGCCCTTGCCTGCCAGGTGCCTAGAGCAAGCTCCCCAGTGAAGCGAGGCCCCTATGTTGTTTAAGGTCCCCAGTCCCCGTGTTTTTTTAAATTAAAACTGTGTTGCTGAGTTGTGTTGGAAGTGCTGTCAGTTCTCAATACTAAGAAAACAAACATCAACATAGTATCCCTTTGATATACTATGATGCACTCAGTGAACTTAGGTGACCAAAACATGTCCCAGGTGGACTGTGCTATAATAACTCCATCACTTACTTGCCCCCAGAGACTAGCATTCCACTTATCTGGCTGTCCCTGCACACTCAAGGCAGGACCTTCCTAAGCAGTTAAACAAGACCACACAGCGGGATGTATCCAAAATGTGTTTATTGGGAAGGTCTCCCATTCATCTTGATTCAGGGTGCCCTTAGTGCTGCTTCCTTCGGAAGGAACATCCTGCAAGCAGAGACCATTCACAGAGTCAGGGATGCAGCCCACCACCTCCTCCCCCCAGAAACCCACCCCACCTGCCACTCAAGCTCTCATTACCCTGAGCCCACTCCTACCACTGTGGAGACCAACACCTGGTTCCTGACTAACTGCTTGTAGGAAAATCGTAAACAGAATTCCACCCCTCTCCCGACATGCCACCCGGCCCCGCTTGTCCGCAGGCTGACCCATGAAGCCACTCACCTTCTGTAAGCCTCGCTTTGCCTCCCGTGGGCTGGCAGAGGACAGTGGAGCAGCCGACACACAAAACGACCGTCTGTGCGTGGCTAAAAACCGTGGTGATTTTGTAGCATCCTAGAGAGGAGAAACGTCAAGAAATATGCCTTTTTTTTTCCTTCCTCCTCTCCGGATTACCACTGTACATGCCAACCCAAACCCGCGTTTCCAACACAAACAACGTCTCTACGGGGGATTCTGACAGACCGTTCTACATTCTAAGTCCCTTCAGTCCACTTTGACAAAGGGTAAGACCTGACACCTGCTGGGCTGCGTCAGGGGCGACGTCCCACCCCACAACACAGACATGCACGCACACACACACACTCACCCACTCACCTGGGCACTTGACGTCCATGAAGTAGGAATTGGGGCTCTGCACCAGGCGTTTCTTCTTGTGTTTCCTCTTCTCCTCCTCTGGAGAGGGATGCAGGAGATCCTTGGCGAGCTAAGGGGAACGAGGGCAAGGACTCAGACACAGCCCCCCGTCCCCGGCCGCAGGACGCGCCCCCCGCCGCCCCCCGCGCTGCGCCAGCCGGGCCGCCATCTTCTCGCTCCGCGCTCCCGAGCAGGCGGGCGGCCGGGGTCGGGGTCGGGGCCGCGGGGCCCGGGCGCACCAAAGTCCTGAGCGGTGCGGGGAGCGAGCGAGGGCGGAGGGCGGCGCGGAGGGCGAGCCTGCAGCCCCAAGCGCCCAAACCCGCACCCAGGAACTCACAGGCATGTTCGCGTGGGGAGCTCGTCACCGCCGGAAAGGAGCGAAAGCGGAAATCCTGCTCCTTATATACGGCGGCCCTCGGGAAGTGACGCGCTCGCCCTTTTGCCGCCATGTTGGGAAGGTCCTGCTCTCTGCACGTTTGCAAGGGAGGCTGGGAGAGCACGCCATGTTTGGAGGGTCTGGAGAGAGCGTCACTACCTAGAGACGACGCGTGGTTAAATGAAGCTTGAAATCGTTGAACGCTCAAGGGGAGAACACGCTTTTGGACCATAGTCGAGGATGGATGTTGGGTGCAACACCGATGGAGGGCCAGCGTGTGGCGCAGCGGATTAAGCCTCTGCTGGAAGCATCTGCATCCCATATGAGTCTCGGCTCAAGTCCTGGCTACTCCACTTCCAATCCAGCTCGCTGCTGACACGCCTGGGAAGAGCAATGGAGGACTGCCCAGGTAGCTTGGGATGAAGCGCCTGTCACCATTTGGGGACTGGACCTGCGATGGAAGATCTCTTTGAGTCTCTTCCTATGTCTGTAACTCAAACTTCCAAATAAATTCATTTATGCGGAGAAAAAAAAAACACGCCGCTTGCGAAGCCTGCATCACAGGTTGGGGTTCCTGTCAGGCAATGTGATTTCATCGCCCATGCCAGCTTCCTGCAAACCTGCACCCTCGGTGGTCCCCTGCACCCTGGGAACGTGAAGAAGCAGGTCCTGGCTCCTAGCTTCCCAGCTCCAGCCACAGCCACTGGGGTCATTAGGGGAGTAAACCAGGAGACGAAAGATCTCTCTCTGCCTCTGCTCTCCATAACTCTGCCTTTCTATTGAAAATTTAAATTTTTTTTTAAGATTTATTCACTTTTTATTGGAAAGTCAAATATACAGAGGAGGAGAGACAGGAAGATCTTCAATCTGCTGATTCACTCCCCAAGTGGCAGCAATAGCTGGAACTGATTCAGCAGACAGGAATCTTTCTGTATCTCCTCGCCTCTGTAATTCTTCCTCTACAAAAAATAAGTAAATAAATTTTTTTTAAAAAACATTGTTTTTAAAGATTTATTTTTATTATTATTTTTTTATTGGAAAGACGGATATACAGAGAAGAGAGACAGAGAGGAAGATCCTCCGTCCAATGATTCACTCCCCAAGTAAGCGCAACGGGCCGATGCTATGCCAATCCGAAGCCAGGAGCCTCTTCCGGGTCTCCCACGCGGGTGCAGGGTCCCAAAGCTTTGGGCCATCCTCGACTGCTTTCCCAGGCCACAGGCAGGGAGCTGGAAGGGAAGCGGGGCTGCCGGGATTAGAACCGATGCCCATATGGGATCCTGGGCGCACATTCAAGGCGAGGACTTAAACCACTACACTAACGTGCTGGGCACAATAAATCTTTTTTTTTTTTTTTTAATTATTTGTTGGGGCCCGAAAAGATAGCCTAGTGGCTAAATCACTTTGCATGCCCAGAGTCCCATGTGGGTGACAGCTCATGTCCCAGTTGCTCCAATTACCATCCAGCTCCCTGCTTGTGGCCTGGGAAAGTAGTCAACGATGGCCCAAAGCTTTGGAACTGGCACCTACGTGGGAGACCCGGATGAGGCTTCTGGTTCCCGGCTTCGGATCAGCTCAGCTCTGGCTGTTGCAGCCACTTGGGGAGTGAATCAATGGATGGAAGATCATTCTCTCAATATCCCTCCTCTCTGTAAATCTGACTTTCCAATAAAAATAAATAAATTGTTTTTTAAATGTACTTATTTTTATTGACTTGTTTAAAGAAGGATTTATTGGGCCAGGCACGATAGTGTAACAGCTGCAGTCCTCGCATTAAATATGCCTGGATCCTATATGGATGTAGGTTCAAATCTCAGTGGTTCCACTTCTTATCCATCTCCATGCTTGTGGCCTGGGAAAGCAGTTGAGGACAGCCCAAATCATTGGGACCCTGCACCTACATAGGAGACTTAGAAGAGGCTCCAGGTTGCTGACTTCGGATTGGCTCAGCTCCAGCCGTTGCAGTCACTTGGGGAGTGAACCATCAGACAGAAGATGTTCCTCTCAGTCTCTCCTCCTCTCTGTATATCTACCTTTTCAATAAAAACATGTAAATCTTTAAAAATGTTTTAAAAAGGATTTATTTACTTATTTATTGGAAAGACAGAATTATAGAGAGAAGGAGAGACAGAAAAATTCCTGTGTGCTGAATCATTCTCCAAGTGGCTGCAATAATCAGAGCTGAACTGATCTGAAGCCAGGAGCCAGGAGCTTCTTCCAGGTCTCCCATGTGGGTGCAGCATCCCAAGGTTTTGGACCACCCTCCACTGCTTTCCCAGGCCACAAGCAGGGAGCTGGATGGGAAGTAGAGCAGCTAGGACATGAACTGCTGCCCATAATGATGTTGGCACTGCCTATGGAAGCTTAACTAACTGTTCATTAAGAGTTCAGAAGTGGGCCCTACTGCTAACATCTTGTGGCAGGAGGAGTTTGGGCAGGGTTCGGCCATGGGGTTGGGGCAAAAGCAGCTCCCTGCAGAGTGGCGGCTGAGGTGGGTGCCCCAGCCAGGCCACACCCAATTGCTGTGGACTCCAGCCACAGTCTGTGCCAAAAGGCAGTGACCGAGTCCTAAGCTTTGCACGAGGCTGTGCATGCTGGCCGCCCGGCGGCGAGCTCTGGGGTTTTTATGATATGTAATTGCTGCCTAGGGACACCCAGGAATAAGGCCAGTTTTAGTGTAGGTGAGAGATGAATTCTGGGTGATTCCCAGCAACAGGGTCACAGAACTTTCTGGCAAGCTTGGGGACTGATACCTGGTGGTTTGGAGGCAAGAGTCGATAAGATCTGTTTGGGCCACATTGATTCACCAGCCTAAATGGGAATCCTGAGATGGGCTGTTAGCATAGAGCATCACTGACTGCCATACACCAGTCCACACCACAGCTATGGATGGGGCATGTCTCGCAGGGCTAGGTAACAGTACCTGACTAGGTGATGGAACAGTGGATGGGTCACACTTGGCAGGATCAAATCCCGCTGGTTAGCTTGCAAGCTGGGGTGGTGATGGGCTGAGCTAGTGTGACCATGGCACCTGCCATCGATTACGGGCAGGTCAAGGCAGCAGCACCCAAAAGTGCATCCTAAAATGGGATGTGGGGTGGGCCGAGCTGCAACTGGAAGGGGGTGGACTTGGCAGGGCCAAGCATACCTCAACTCACAAGGAAGAACAGAAATCAGGATGGAGCACAGGTCATGCTGAGCTAGGCTCTTACACCGACTGGTCTGCATAAGGCAGGGATACTATGCCACAGCATCGAAGGCAAAGGCTGAGACAGGTGAGAGACTAAGCCCACTGGGTCAGAGCAGCCAGTAGCACACGTATAATCTAAGGCTGGGAATAGACTCGGCTGGGGAGCTGTGAGAATCCACCCTTGCTGGGTTGGGATTCCCAAGGGAGAGTGCAGGGGCCAGAGTGGGGGCTGCATTCTGGTCTGGATATGGCTGCAATCTCCCTTGGCACAGTGTGAACTGGGGTTGGGCACACCTAACCGGGCTAGATGCCAGCACCATCTGGTGCTCTGGAGAACCTGGGTAAATGTAGGACAGACTAGGCTAGGTCTTTTCCCCTACTGAGCCATGTGTGAGCAGTGTCTGGGTATGAAACATCCAACAATAAGAACCGGAATAGGTTGAAGGCCAGCAAGGAGGGCTGACCCATGGACCCACAAGTACTCGCAAGATCTGGCATAGGGAGAGGTTCTGATGGAAGGGCTTGGGAAACTCCTTTGTCAGGGCACAGTCCCTGCAGGTGAGTGCAGGAACCATGATAGGGAACAACCCAGACAAGGCCAGAGAAAGATACCCACCGGCATATATTTGGCATGGGTCGGGGCTGGAGTATGGACTGGGGCTCGATGCACCAAGCCAGGCTAGATTCCAGCACCGTCTCTTGCTCTGGAGGGCCAGAGTAGATGTAGGATGGACTAGGCTAGATCTTTGCCCCTACTGAGCCATGTGTGAGCTGTATGTGGGTATGGACGAGCTTTGGCTGGGCTGAAACATTCAACAGTAAGAACCAGAATGGGTTGAAGGCCAGTCAGGAAAAGCCACTGTTCCTGCCAGGACAGAAGGTGGACCGAGTAAGGTTGGTTCCCAGACCCACCAATATGCATGAAATCTGGCATTGGGAGAGGTTCTAATGGAGGAGCCTGGGCAACTCCTCTGGCAGGACACAGTCCCTGCAGGTGAGCACAAGAGGCATGATAAGGAGCATCCCAGACCAGGCCAGGGAAAGACACCCACCGGCACACATTTGGCACAGGTCAGGGGCAGACCAGGCTGAACCAGTTCGCATCAGCCATTGGAGAATCTGAGCACCAGAACAATGTGGGTCGGGCCAGATATGGTCACAACACATACCAATACACATTACAGCTGAGATAGGGTACACTCTGGGCTGGGCTAGACTGTAACCCTCACCAGCTGCAATTTGGGGTGGGCCTGGCTGGGCCAGGCTACAGCATCCACTAGCAAATGCCACGGTGAGGTGGGCCATGCCAGACTGGGACATAGCGCTAGTAGGAACCAGGGAGGGGTTAATGCTGGTAGGGGGAATGTGGAGGGCCCCCCTGCTGGAACACCTCACCCACTGAAGAGCATGAGTTGAGATAGGAGCAGACCAGACCAGGCAGGGTTACAACACCTGTGGGCCTCATGTAAGCCAGATCAGGGAAGAGCCAGGCTTGGTTGACTGTCCCTACTGGTGCAAGCATAAATCAGAATGGGTGAGGGTTGGTTGGGCTTTGCCGCAGCATCAGATAGCAGATGCTGGCACTGGGGGCTAGCCTGTCAACTTAAACTATAGAATCATCAGGAAAGTGCATGATCCAGAATTGGGAGTGGGCTAGGAGGGAAACAGTGGGCACTTCCCTCTTGGGTTACCACTCCCACTGGAGAGCACGAAAACCAGGCTGGGGCAAGGTGGTTAGACAGAAAGGCACCCACCAGCATGTATGTGGACTGGATAATGGAGCTGGTTGGGTTGAACTAGGCTTCAATGCTCATTGACATGTATGAGAGCTGAATGGAATGTGGGACAGACTGAACAAGTCTGTGGTACATACTGGCAAACATCGGAGCCAGGGCACGGAGTAGGCCTGGTGCGGGTTATGGGGAGTCGCCCCCAGTAGGCTGCAGTTCCCACTGTTTTGCATGATGGCCGAGTATGAAGTCGGCAGGATCGGGCTAGACTACAACATCCATCGGTTCGCGTGGAAGACAGGGCTGGAAACAGAACTGACCCAGCAATTGCAATGACCAGCATGGGCATAAGATGATTGGGGCGACAGACAGTGCCAGAGCCTGTGCTGGCAAGCACACGTAAGAATCAGGTCTGGGATCACTTCAGACGAAGTTTCTTTGGAGATCCCTCCAACTGAACTGCTGATCTCAGAACCCCAACCATGAAGAGACTATGTCAGCCAGTGGATTCTGAAGAGATTTCATCATGCTTGGAATGGCAAGATTGGCAGCAATTCAGAACTGTTGAACTATTAAAACTGCTTGAGCAGGACCCTCGGAGCGTGCCTCACATTGGGGACCTGGGATGGGAGGGAGACTGGGTGGGGCTTTTCCCTTTGTTTCTCCCCTGATCCCAGATACAGGGGGAAAATGATGATATTAGTGTGGAAACAATGGTATTACCCACTTCCCTGTAGCCCTTGATCCTTTGTACCCTAATCAACTAAGTAAGATTATTTTTTAAAAAATTAAAAGAATTAAAACAAAACAAAACAAAACAAAACAAAACAAAAAACTCAGAAGGGGTGCCAGCCAGAGGAAGGGAGATGGAGAGGAAGTTTCAGGCTCCCAGCTTTAGACCAGACCAGCCCTTCCCTTGAGGCCTTTTGGGGAGTAAACCAACAGATGATACTCTGCATCTCCTCTTTCCCCTGAGTATCTTCCTTTCAAATAAATAAATCTCTACATAAAGTGGAGGTGAGTGTGGAGTCCAGGCCTCCTGGCTCTGCCAGGCCTCGGCCCAGCTGTGAACACCATGTAAAGAACAAATCAATAGATGAAAATTCTGTCTCTGGCATCCTGCCTTTCCAATGCATTTTTTTCTTGGAAAAAAAAAACTGTGAAGAATTACATGTTGTGGGGCTGATGCCATGGTTCAACTGGCTAATCCTCTTCCTTTAAGTACCAGCATCACATATGGGCATTGGTTCGTATCCCAGCTGCTCCACTTCCCATCCAGCTCCCTGCTTGTGGCCTGGGAAAGCAGTGGAGGATGAACCAAAGCCTTGGGACCCTGTACCCTCTTGGGAGACCTGGAGGAAGTTCCTGGCTCCTGGCTTTGGATGGGCTCAGCTTCAACCACTGCGGCCATTTGGGAAGTGAACCAGAGGATGGAAAATTTTTCAGTCCCTGTTCTCTGTGCATCTCCTTTCCAAAAAAAAAAAAAAAATCTTAAAAATTAATTAATTAAAAACAATGACTTGTTCAGTCCTCTGGCGCTCCCTGAGAGTGCGGGCTTTCACTCCCGCTCCCTCCCGCCAGGGGGCAGACGGACTCAGCGAGTGACCGGGCCCTCAGGGCAGACCCGCTTTTTTCAAAGGGAGTTGCGCTTTGCAGAACCGAGGGCTCGGGACCGCCGTGGGCTCGGTGCTCCCGCTCCATGCCCAGGGCCATCCCCACCTGCCCCTGCCCCTGCCCCTGCCCCACGCCCCACGCCCCACGCCCCGAGCCCGCAGGGTCACGCCCCTTGTCCAGGCCCCTCGGGTGCAGCCTCGGTGCCCTCCAGCCCGGCCGGGCAAAGGGAAGGCAGCGGCGGGCCCTGCTGGGCTCCGGGCCCGCCCCGAGCCCGCCCGGGCCGGCCGACGGGGGGCGGAGCCGGCGCCGCGCCGCCTCCACTCGGCTCCCGGAGCCCTGGGCCGCCCGCGAGGAAAACTTGCTCCTGGCCTGTGGGCGCCGGCCGGCGGTCCCCCCGCCCCGTCGGCCCACCCGTGCGGTCCCGCCCCCCTTGGCCGGCCCTGCCCCCGGCGCCCCCAGCGTCCGCCATGGCCAAAGCCTACGACCACCTCTTCAAGTTGCTGCTGATCGGGGACTCGGGGGTGGGCAAGACGTGTCTGATCATCCGCTTCGCCGAGGACAGCTTCAACAGCACCTACATCTCCACCATCGGTGAGCCCACCGGGCACCCCTGCTGCCCGGAACGTCCTTCGGGGTGGGCCCCCGGGAGACCTGTGGGTGACCCCCAAGGCCCCGGGACACTGTCCCCTCCTGTCCTCTTTCCGCACGCAGTCCCCTCCCCTCGACCCCTGCGTCCTCCAGCCCCTGGCGGGCACACTCTTCCCCACTCCCCCCACAGCGTCCGGGCTCTGCGCGCCCCTCGGGTTAGCCAGGCTTTATAGCGGGAAGAATGGAGTCCGAGTGTGGGGGTGATTCTCGGCCAGGAAGGTGGGGGGTCAGCCTGGTGACTCATCCTCCTCCAGCCCGGCAGGCAGGCAGGCGTGGGGGAGGTGCCCGCCTTCCTCCGCCGGCCCGGGACACCGGACAGCCCCAGTCTGCAGCCCGGCTCCGACAAAAGGCCAGGGCGAAGTGGGAGCGCCTTTCGCCTCTGACGGTCTGGGTTCCCAGCCTGGCCCGCCCAAGACTGGCAGCCAGGGAACTGCCTCCTGATTCTGTAGCCTTAGGGCCCCAGGCTGGGTACGGCACCCGGAGAATAAAGGAAGCTAAAGAAACAGAATGGGAGAGAGAGAGAGAGAGAGAGAGATGGCAAAGTCGCTTTGAGGGTTGGGACACAGCCTAAACTGAGAACTGTTACCGCCCCCAAGTCCTTAAACCACAAGTGACACATCCAACTTGGGGACTTCCAGCGAGTTTGCAGGGCCAGTGCCTCCCCCTGCAGAATTCAGTTGTGGCTGTGTCTCTGGGTCCTGTGTCCTGTCACAAGCTTTTACACACTCACACACGCCCCTGCGCTCCATGGTCATCTCCTGTCCCCCAGGAATCGACTTTAAGATCCGCACTGTGGACATCGACGGCAAGAAGATCAAACTGCAGGTCTGGTGAGTGAGAACCTCCTCCTTGGCCCCAGGAGACCCCGCGCTTGCACATCTACCCCCTCTGAGACCCCTGCCCTCTGTCCTGCTTCATTCTCGCTCTCCCCTCCCCGACTCCTTCCTCCTGCCCAACCCCACCAACTCGCCCGCCAGCCCACGGCTGTGGAGCTGGATCAGGAACACCCAGCTCTAAGCAGTTAAAGGGCAAGCAGTAGAAGGAAGCCCCAACTCCCAGTCCAGTGCTCACTCTACGCTTTACCTTAAGGTGACTCCCAGCTGGGGTTCCGGTGGCACGGGGCTTGGCAGGAGCATTCGGTTGGGACAGAGAGGAGCTGCCTGGGGCTCAGATCCCAGTTCTGCCACCTAGCTTTCATGAGCTACCCAACCTCTCTAAACCCTATTTTTCCATCTGTAAAATGAAGACCATAAAATGCAACATGTGCATAAATGCGCGGGGGGGGGAGCACAAACAACGCACACACATAAAGGGACCAGCGCTGGCACAGGTTCGGTAGAGCAGAGCCACTGTGGAGGTGGGTATTGGAGGCACAGCAGCCCACCCCAGAGCCCGTGGGTTCCAGGTCCAACTCACGTGCTTGCTGCTGCTGTCCACCCAGAAGACAGCAGGTGGCAGCTGGAGGGACTGGCCCATACCACCTCCTGAGAAACACACATGGAGTTCCCAGCTCCCATTTCTGTCCAACAAACCCTGGTTGTTGGGGGAATGAATCAGAGAATGAAAGATCTTCATCTCTCCTCTTCCTTTTTTAAAATTATTTTATTTTTATTGGAAAGACAGATTTGCAAAGAGAGACAGATTTTATATCCGCTAGTTTACTCTCCAAATACTAAAATGGCCAGAACTCTGCCAATCCCAAGCCAAGAGCTTCCTACATGTCTCCCATGCAGGTGTAGGGTCTCAAGGCTTTGGGGCGTCCTCCCCTGCTTTCCCAGGCCACAAGCAGGAAGCTGGATGGGAAGTGGAGCAGCTGGGACACAAACTAGTGCCCATATGCCTGTGCTGGGAGGTGGAGTAATTAGTGGAGCCAGCCACTTCATCTCCTCTCTTTACCCTTTAATTAATTATTTTTAGAATAATTAGTTAATTATTGTAAAACACACACATACACACACCCCAATGGGCTGACACAGTGGTACAGCAAGCTAATTCTCCACCCTATGGCACCAGCATCCCATTTGAACTCTGGCTCATGTCCCAGTTGTTTCACTTTCCATCTAGCTCCTTGCCTGTGGCCTGGGAAAACAGTCAAGGAAGGCCTAAGGCCTCGGAACCGTGCCCCACACGGGAGACCCAGAAGAAGCTCCTGGTTCCTGGCTTTGGATCAGCTCAGCCTTAGCCGTTAGTCATTTAGGGAGTTAACAAATGGATGGAAGATCTCACTTTCTCTGTTTCTCCCTCTCTGAAACTCTACCTTTCAAATAAATATATATTTGGGCCCCACACAGTGGCCTAGCAGCTAAAGTCCTTACTTTGAATACGCCAGGATCCCATATGGGCGCCAGTTCTAATCCCAGTAGCTCAACTCCCCATCCAGCTCCCTGTTTGTGGCCTGGGAAAGCAGTCAAGGATGGCCCAAAGCCTTGGGACCCTGCACCCATGTGGGAGAATCAGAAGAAGCTTCTGAATTCGGATTGGCGGTCACTTGGGGAGTGAATCATCGGACAGAAGATCTTCCTCTTTGTCTCTCCTCCTCTCTGTATATCTGCCTTTCCAATAAAAATAAATAAAGCTTTTAAAAAATAATCTTTGACAAAGCAAAGGAGAAACAAGACGTCTTGTTTCCCGGGTCTCTGCCATCTCCCGTCCCAAGGAGCCTTTTCCTGCTGTCCCTTGCTTTGCTCCTTCCTGTCCCATTCTGTTACAGAATGAGTGTCTCTAACTTTAATATTATTATTATTTTAATTCGAGAGTTAGGAAGCATTCTCATGGCTGGTTCACTCCCCAGATGTCTTCAAAGGAGCAAGGACCAAAGGCAAGAGTTGGGAACTCCGTCGGGGCTCCCCTCCAGGGTGGCAGAATCCCTGTCCCTTGGACCATTACTGCTGCCCACCCCCGCTCCAGGTTCTGGTCTATCAGGAAGCCGGATATTTAAAAGGATATTTAAAAAAAAAGAAAGGAAGGAAGGAAGAGTGTGTGAGAGATGACTCAATTGGCTAATCCTCCACCTGCAAGCTCCAGGATCCCATATGTGCACCAGTTTATGTCCCAGCTGCTCCACTTCCCATCCAGTTCCCTGCTTGTGGCCAGGGAAAGCAGTCAAGGACACCCCAAAGCCTTGGGGCCCTGCACCTGTGTGGGAGACCTGAGGTAAGCTCCTGACTTCAAATCGGCTCAGCTCCAGCCGTTTTAGCCACTTGGGGAGTGAACTGGTGGGTAGAAGCTCTTCCTGTCTGACAAGCCCCTGGCTACCAGCACTGCTTTTTTTTTTTTTTTTAAAGATTTATTTTTATTATGTTATTTTATTGGAAAGGCGGATATACAGAGAGGAGAGACAGAGAGGAAGATCTTCCGTCCGATGATTCATTCCCCAAGTGAGCACAACGGCCAATGCTATGCCGATCCGAAGCCAGGAGCCTCTTCCGGGTCTCCCACGCGGGTGCAGGGTCCCAAAGCTTTGGGCCGTCCTCGACTGCTTTCCCGGGCCACAGGCAGGGAGCTGGAAGGGAAGCAGGGCTGCCGGGATTAGAACTGGCGCCCATATGGGATCCCGGGCGTGCAAGGCAAGGACCTTAACCACTACGCCATCGCTCCGGACCCTGCTTTTTTTTTTTTAATATTTATTTATTTTTATTACAAAGTCAGATATACAGAGAGGAGGAGAGGCAGGAAGATCTTCCGTCCAATGATTCACTTCCCAGGTGAACACAACGGCTGGTGCTGTACCAATCCGAAGCCGGGAACCAGGAACCTCTTCCAGGTCTCCCACACAGGTGCAGGGTCCCAAAGCTTTGGGCCGTCCTTGACTGTTTTCCCAGGCCACAAGCAGGGAGCTGGATGGGAAGTGGAGCAGCCAGGATTAGAACCAGCGCCCATATGGGATCCTGGCACGTTCAAGGCAAGGACTTTAGCCTCTAGGCCACGCCACTGGGCCCCCCCTCTTTTTTTCTTTAAGTATTGAATATATAGAGTTTAGTAACAGGTACTAATAAAATCCTGAAGCATTGCTTTCAATCTCAAGGTTTTGGAAACTTTCCTTACTTCCTCAGCTTTTGCAATATCATGTTTATAAATTTGAATACTAGCATGCATGCATCCATTTTTTGGCAGAGGGAGCGGCAGAGGTGTGGTCCAGAAATAATTATTAAAACTGTGTGCAACTATTAAAATTAATCAGTTGATGATCAAAACAAAACAAAAAAGCTCTTTCTGTCTCTCTCCATAAATCTGCCTTTTCTTTTTCCGTTTTTAAAATTTATTTATTTTTATTACAAAGTCAGATATACAGAGAGGAGGAGAGACAGAGAGACAGATCTATCCGATGAGTCACTCTCCAAGTAACACAACAGCCGGTGCTGCACCGATCCAAAGCCAGGAACCAGGAACTTCCTCCAGGTCTCCATCACAGGTGCAGGATCTTTAGGCTTTGGGCTGTCCTGGACTGCTTTCCCAAGCCACAAGCAGGGAGCTGGATGGGAAGTGGAGCTGGTGGGATTAGAACAAGCACCCATGTGGGATCCTGGCATGTTCAAGGTGAGGACTTTAGTTGCTAGGTCACCACGCTGGGCCCCAAATCTGCCTTTTTGATAAAAATAAATAACTGTTAAAAAAAAAAATGAAAAACAGGAAGTCACAGCAGGAGGCATTCAGTTAAGCCAGGCACTCTAATGTGCCATTCGGGCACCTTATCCATCGGGCCAAATGGCCATCTTGCAAAAGTCGAATTCATGAACCTGGGGGCGTAATACTCCCCTTGGAAAATTTGCTCTTTTTAACCTACCCCCATGCAACCCGCTTCTTCAGGGACACGGCTGGCCAAGAGCGATTCAAGACGATCACTACTGCCTATTACCGCGGAGCCATGGTAGGAAGCCTGTGCGTGGACGAGGGGAGAGGAGGATTTTACGAGCACGGGATCGTGGTGGGGAGAAGAGAGCAGTTAGAACCCTGTTGGGAAGTCGGGACACTTGGCAGGCAGCGGGAAGCTGAAACGGGAAGATGAGCCGAGGTTTGCCTTGCCGTCTCCAGGGCATCATCCTAGTGTACGACATCACTGATGAGAAATCCTTCGAGAATATTCAGAACTGGATGAAGAGCATCAAAGAGGTGGGAGCTGGCCCGAGGCAAGGGGAGGACCGGGCAGTACCCAGCTTTGACCCACCTCACCCTTTCGCCCCCAGAATGCCTCTGCGGGGGTGGAGCGCCTCCTGCTGGGGAACAAGTGTGACATGGAGGCCAAGAGGAAGGTGCCCAAGGAGCAGGCCACCAAGGTAAGCGCCCAGCGGGCAGGGCCTGCGGGAGGCTGCCCTGCCCGAGCCCTTTCCCCACTCTCCGCCTGTCCCACTGCAGCTGGCCCAAGAGCACGGCATCCGGTTTTTCGAGACAAGCGCCAAATCCAGTGTGAACGTGGATGAGGTGAGCCAGCCTGCGCAGAAAGGTGGAGACGGGGTATTGGATGCTGGATGTGTTGGCCCCGCGGGTGGTTCTCACCGTCCAATCCCACTGCTTAGGCCTTCAGTTCCCTGGCCCGGGACATCTTGCTCAAGTCTGGAGGCCGCAAATCGGTGAGTTGGTCCTGCTGGGCCGCGTGCGGCTGCATGTGTGTGCACGCGGTGTGTTCACGTGTGTGTACATGCGGGGACGTGTGTATGTGTGTCCATGTATGTGGATGCTTTACGTGGTGGGGCAGAGGACATGTGAGTGTGTTTGAGTGTGTACCTGTGTGTGTGTGTCTGGTGGGAGGAATGTGCGCTTTTTGTGTGTATGTGAGTGCTGTGTGTGGTGGCAGAAAGGGGTGTGTGTGTGTCTGAGTGAGTGCGTGCCTGCACGTGTGCATGGTGAGGGGCATGTGTGCTTGTGTGTGTGTGTGTGTGTGTGTGTGGTGGGGGCAGGTGCATGTATGTATGGGAGGAGTGAGGGGTTGCGCCCATAGGAGGTGAAAACTGTGCGGTGGAGCTGGGGCTTCTGGTGAGACTGAGTCCACTTGGGCTGGTGGTCCCCAAGCCCACCCAGCCACTCACCCCGTGCCCACCACGCCCTCTCCCTGCAGGGAAACAGCAGCAAGTCCCCGGGCACAGAGCTGAAACCCAGCGACAAGAAGGGCACCAGCAAGTGCTCCCTGGGCTGACCACCTGGCGGGCCGCCCCCGCCGCCGCACGCCGGGTGGGCCACTGCACGTCGGTGGGCGCGGGGGCTGAGGGCCTACGAGGGCTTGGTGGAGAGGAGGAAAGGAAGAAGGAGAGAGCGAAGGGAGAAAAGCTTCAAAGGGAACGGGAGGCGGGAGCAGGGAGCAGGAAGGTCTGAGGAAGTGAAGGAAGGTGAGGAGTTGGAAGGAGGGAGGCAGAGGTGGCCCGGCCTCAGCCCTTCCGGGGCTACAGGGCACACGCCCATGTAAAGGTGTCCACTGAGGCTGGGGGCGGGTGAGGGCGCGGGGGCTGGGAGAGGCCGGCTGGGTGCCCACCTGACAGCACGGTCCCTCTGCACAGCCCCCGTCGGCATTAAAGACCCCCAGTTGGCATAAAAGACCCTGGCGTGCACATGTCTTCTTGCTGTCTCCACTCGAGCCCACTTCCTGCCTCCCCACAGTGGCTGGTCCGCCCGAATCTGTGTTCCCGTGGCACCCTGCCCAGTCCTGCCCCACCCCTGCCCTGGCTACTTCATTGGCGAGGACAACTGCCAAGGGCAGGAAGTAGAGTCCCAGGGGCCTGCACTTCCTCATTCCACTGCGGGGTCCAGAGGGCGGCAGGGAGCACAGGAAATGGGGACTGAATGGACCCCCAGGTGTCCCGCCCTGGCAGGGAGCAGGACCCAGGGTAGGCCTGGTGCTGTGTGCAGGGGCCTTCTGCTCTGCCAGAAGTGCTTTTCTGTGGTTTGGTAGGCATTACTGGTTGTTTTTCTTCTCTTGGCTCTTACTTTTTAGGAATTATTTATGTACTTTCATTTTATTTGAAAGATTGAGAGATTCTTCTGTCTCCTACTTCACTTCCCCCCAATGCCCATAATAACCAGAATTGGACGGGACCAAAACCAGAAGCCCGAGACTCAGGGTAGGTCTTCTGCACGGGTGGCCAGGCACCCAGGTTCTTCAGCCGTCACGTGCCGCCTCCAGGGAGCACATGTACAGAAAGGTGGATCAGAGGTGGAGTAACGGTGCTGGCACCATGGTGCGTGGGTTAAGCAGCCACCTGCAGAGTCAGCAGCCCACATGGGAACAAGTTCAAGTCTCAGCTACTTCATTTTTTTTCCTGCCCCTTTTAAGATTTATTTATTTATTTTGGAAAGGCAGACATGCAGAGAGGAGGAAAGACAGAGAGGAAGATCTTCCATCCAATGATTCATCCCCCAAATGACTACAACGGCTGGAGCTGAGCCAATCCAAAGCCAGCAGCCAGGAGCTTCTTCTGGGTCTCCCACGTGGGTGCAGGATCTCAAGGCTTTGGCCCATCCTGGACTGTTTTCCCAGGCCACAAGCAGGGAGCTGGATGGGAAGCTGGGCTGCCAGGATTAGAACTGGCGACCATATGGGATCCTGGTGTGTTCAAGATGAGCACTTGAGCCACTAGGCTTCTGCACAGGGCCCTCCTGCTTCACTTCTAATTCAGTTCCCTGCTAATGAGCCAAACAATATGTCCTAAATGCTTGTGTGCTTGCCCCCGTGTGGGAAACTGTGGTGAAACTCCTGGCTCCCCGCTTTGGCCTGGGCCAGCCCCAGCCATTGCAGCCATTTGAGGAAACACTGGATAGATCACTTTTCTTTCTGCCTCAGCCTCTACCTCTCCCGCTCTGTAATGTACCTTTCAAATAAATAAATAAATTATTTAAAAATATTGTTGGGCCCGGCACGGTGGCGCAAATGGTTAAGGTCCTCGCCTTGCACGCCCGGGATCCCATATGGGCGCCGGTTCTAATCCCGGCAGCCCCGCTTCCCTTCCAGCTCCCTGCCTGTGGCCCGGGAAAGCAGTCGAGGATGGCCCAAAGCTTTGGGACCCTGCACCCGCGTGGGAGACCCGGAAGAGGCTCCTGGCTTCGGATCGGCATAGCATCGGCCCGTTGCACTTACTTGGGGAGTGAATCATCGGACGGAGGATCTTCCTCTCTGTCTCTCCTCTCTGTATATCCGTCTTTCCAATAAAAAAATAATAAAAATTAATCTTTAAAAAAATATATTTATTGTTATTTGAAAGGCAAATTTACAGCGAGAAAGAACAATAGAGAGAGAGACCTTGCAACCATTGACTCCTGAAATGGCAAGAGCCAGCTCGGAGCTGATGCAAGGGCTCGAGACCCTGGAGCTTCCTCGGCTGCCTGCCCATGCCACAAGCAAGGGCTGGATGAGAAGTGCGATAGCTGGGATGGCACTGGGCCCTCTGATGTGGGATGTCAGCATCTGTCTTGCCCTGCTGTGCAACAATACTGGTCCCCCAAACAACTCTTAACTCCTGAGTAAAAGGGGCATAAATGTTGACCTGTCCAGGAATCACCACCAGGGCTAGTGTTGTGGCAGAGCCAGTGAAGCTGTCAACATGAGCATCCCGTATGCTGTTCATCCCATACCTGTTCAAGTCCTGGCTGCTTCACTACAGATCCAGCTCCCTGCTAGAGTGTCTGCGAAAAGCAGTGGAGGATGACCCGAGTGCTTGGGCTCCTGCATCCACGTGGACCCTGAGAGAAGTCCCTGGCTCCTGGCTCTGGTTTGGTTTAGCCCTGACTTTTGGGGCCACTGGGATGTGAACCGGTAGATAGGTTTTTCTTTTTTCCTGTCTCCATCTCTCACTTCCCTTTTCTTCCCCTCCTTTTCTCCCTCTCTATTTCTTTTTGATTTTCAAATAACTAAATAAAGCTTAAAAAAAAAAAGCACCAAAAAATGTACCCTCAACACGCCGTTTTCCTGAGTGCATATTGCCCAGTTTCACCCTTACACCGTGTTTGCTCTTTTGGTTAATGTTTACTTACTGATTTGATAACAAGATCTCCCACCCACTGATTTATTTTTCTAAAACTTTGTTTTTATTCAAAAGGTAGTTATGGAGAGAAGGAAAGACAAAGAGAAAGCTCTTCCATTTACTAATTCATCCCCTACATGACCACAACAGCTAGAGCTGGGTCGATCTGAAGCCAGGAGCTTCTTCTGGGTTTCCCATGTGTATGCAGCGGCCCTAGGACTTGAATCATCCTCTGCTGTTTTTCCAGGGTATAAGCAGGGAGCTGCATTGAAAATAGAGCACCCAGCATGGTAGCCTAATGGCTAAAGTCCACACCTTGAAGGCGCTGGGATCTCATATGGGCGTTGGTTCTAATCCCAACAGCCCCACTTCCCATCCAGCTCCCTGCTGGTGGCCTGGAAAAGCAGTCAAGGATGGCCCAAAGCCTTGGGACCCTGCACCTGCGTAGGAGACCCAGAAGAAGTTCCTGGCTCCTGGCTTCGGATCAGCTCAGCTTCAGCTATTGTAGCTACTTGGGAAGTGAATCATTGGACTGAAGATCTTCCTCTCTGTTTCTCTTCTCTCTATATGCCTTTTCAATTAAAGAAAAAAAAAAAGATGAGTCTTAAAAAAAGCAGAATAGCTAGGACTAGAACCAGCTCCTTTATGGAATTCTAACAGCATAGGCAGAAGTTTAATCTATTATGCCATAGCGTGAGCCCCTCATCTACTGATTTAATTTTCAAATGTGGACAACAGCCGGGGCTGCAATAGGCAGAAGCCAGGATTCAGGAACTCAGCCTGGGTCTCACATATGGCCAGACAACAGGCAGCCAACTACTTAAGTCAACAACTGCTTTGTGCAAGGGTGTGTATTAGCAGGAACTTGTAATTAGGAGTGGAGCTGGGATTCAGACTCAGGCACTCAGCTAAGGGATGCAGGCCTCCCTACAAAGTTTTCTTTTTTCCTTTTACTACATATTTAAAATGAGAAATGAGGGCCTGCCATGATACCATAATGGTTGAAGTCCTCGCCTTGCATGCGCCAGAATCCCATATGGGCGCCGGTTCTAATCTTGGCGGCTCCACTTCCCATCCAGCTCCCTGCTTGTGGTCTGGGAAAGCAGTAGAGGACGGCCCAAAGCCTAGGGACCCTGCACCCACGTGGAGACCCAGAAGAAGCTCCTGGCTGCTGGCTTTGGATTGGCTCAGCTCCAGCTGTTGCATCTGCTTGGGAAATGAATCATTGGACTGAAGATCTTCCTCTCTGTCTCTCCTCTTCTCTGTATATCTGACTTTCCAATAAAAATAAATAAATCTTTTTAAAAAATAAAAAAGGAAAATGAGAGGGTGAGACAGTTGGAAATCTTCCATTTGCTTGCTCACTCTCCAAATAGCCACGATAGCTGGCACTGGGCCAGGCCAAAGCCAGGAGCTGGGAACTTGATCCTGGTCTCCCCGCACAGTGGCAGAGGCCCCATCAGTCGGGCCTTCATCTGCTGCCTGCCCGGAGCACTAGCATGGCAATAAGAGAGGACTCCTTCGTTATGCAATGCTGGTGTCTCGAGGGGTATCTTCAGCTGCTGTGCCCCAACTTCCAGTCCCACGTTTCAATGTTAAATTGCACTGTGCCTTCACCTATACATTTTTAAAACAGCAAAATTGGGGCTAGTGCTGTGCACAGCAAGTAAAGCCTCTGTAGCACCAGCATCCTATACGGGTGCTGGTTTAAGTCCTGCCTGCTCCACTTCCCATGCAGCTCGCCCGAGAAGGCAGTGGAAGATGACCAAAGTGCTTGGGGTCCTGTGCCTACATTGCAAACCCAATGTGGTCTCCAATGAAACTCTTGGTTCCTGACTTTGGTCCAAAATCAGAGGATGGAAGATTTCTCTCTGTAGATGGAGGATTATTAGGTTAAGCCATGGCTCTGGCCCCTCATGAATTTTTTTTAAAGCACTTTCATTTCATTGAAACATAAAGAGACAGGCTTTCCATCTGTACTTCACTCCCCACGTGCCCATAGCCATGGCTCACCCCGGCTTGAGAGACCCACTAATAATTCAATCTTGGTTTTCCACAAGGCTGCAGGGGCTCACATGCTTGCCTCCCAGGTTGAGCATCACAGAAGCCTAGAAATGGGAGGGGACCCAGGCCTTGGCTTCCCAGCACTCCAATATGGGATGGTGGGAATCCAAGTGGAGTGGCATCTCCTTCTGCTCCAGATACCCACACCCACACATTTAGCTTCTTACCACTATGAAAGTATTACATTTGGCCTAGATAAAATGGGCAATATGTAATTCCAGGGATTATATTTCCAGATACAATGTTCACAGCAATTGGGAAACCCCCAAAAGTTCAATGTCAAAGTGCAGCTGGCCAAAACTGGAGTCAGCAGCCCAGGCTTTCTTGTGCTGCTCCTCCTGTAGGGAAAAGACAACACTCAGAAAAGCTTCTGACAGAATTAGGAGAAAAGACAACAAATGTAATGAGACAATGTGATAAATGTATTAAATAGTTCAACTTCGGTGAGGCTGGCTTAGGTTTGAGTTCTGCAGCCAACAGTCTACGTGGTTTCATGGTTTTCTTTGCAAAAGGTG